ACTAAAGAATCCAAACAATCCTACTAATGCGCTTGCTGTGTGCAATTGGTGTATAGCTAAAAATGGAAGTTTAGAAGCGACTAAGATTAAAGCTGAGTGTTGTACTTCAAATCATGGACGATTATGTCGAAATCATTTATCAAAATGTGCAAATTTTCTTGAAGCTAACTCTGCTGAAGAAATTGACCGAATTTTAGCATTACCAGTATCTGAGAATGAAAACAAAAAACAAGATACAGATGGTATATTTAAAATTATATATATATAATATTGCAATATAAATTGATAATTTTTTTTTGTACAGATGATGATAATAGTGACATACCTGTACCAACTTTAAAACGTAAAAAATCATCTACAACTTCTAAAATTTCACAATCAGGTGCTTTAGTATCAAATCCGAATCAACCAATAACTAAATTTCTTTGTTGTCTTATATCATTAAATGATAAATTGCATTTTGAAAAACTTATTCTTCGAATGATTGTTTCGAATGCATTACATTTTACGTTTGTTGAAAATGAAGAAACATTAGCAGTATTTCAGTTTGTTGCACCAGGACTTGAATTGCCCAAAAGAAAAGTTATAAGTAATAAAGTGCTAATAGAAAGTGCAAAATCATTTAGTGATGATATTACTAAATTAGCAAGTAGTGATATAGATGGAGTAACTGCAACGTTTGATGGATAGACAAACATAAGACAGGAGCATATATGGGGGTAGTATTTATAACTACATTAGGGCGGCCATTAATATGGAATGCATATGATATAAGTATTGAACGATCTAAAACTAAAGATGTTATTAGGCATATTGAAAACTTAATTACTGAAGCTAATTCGAAAAATATAAATATAAAAGCATTTATTTCTGATTCTGCAGGAGAATATGCAGCTGCACAACGCTATTTGCGAAAAAAATATATATCGAAAGTATTTTTACCTTGCATGGCCCATCAAATGAATTTGCTTTTTGGAGAAATTTTTAAAGAATCAGAATTATATAAAAGAGTATCAAAAGAAGCTATTCGTCTTGTTAGTTTTTTCATAAATCAGTTTTTTTTACAGGAAATCTTCAAGATGAACAAATGCGAATATATAAAAAAACTATCACTTTAATTGAGCCAGAAAATACACGATAGAATTCTTATTATTTTTGTTTTTATTCGATACTAAAATCACAAGCTGCACTTAAATTTATTTCAGCAAAATTTAATAACTATCGTACAAATGTAGTTAGAACAAATGGTATTCCAAATTAACTAGCTGATAACAAATCAGTTACTCGAGGTGGTGCTCGAAAATTACCTGATGATATTGCAGATATTATTAATGATTCAGAATTTTGGTCTGTATTATTTAAGCTTCAAAATATATTATATCCACTTTGTGGATTTCTTAATAAATTACAAAAAGACACAACTCGTCTTTATGAAGTTCTTCATTGTTTTGCATATGCAATAAAATTATTTAGTAATCATTTAAATTTAGAATTCGGATCAAAAATAGTTACATGTATAGAATTTCGTTGGAAAGAATGGGAACAACCATTACTAATTCTTGCATTTGTATTATATCCTGCTTATAAATTATCACAATTTCATGAATCGGTTATAGATATTTCATGGACCCATATTGGGCAATGGATAAAATATTATTATAAAGCTTGGTTTGAGTCTAAACCAATTTCAATTTTAGCAGAATTAATTAATTATAAACGAGAAATAGATCTATATGATATAGATTCTTTTAAACATTTTAAAGGAAATTTAATAGATTTTTAGGAATCGACTAGTGGTATAGGCCCTGAATTAGCACGAGTTGCAATTCGCATTCATGGTATCTGTATTAATTCAGCTTCTGTGGAATGTTTATGGTCATCCATGGAGTTATTGCATACTAATCGATGAAGTAGGCTAGAGGTATGTAAATATTAAACTAAACTTTACTATATTTGGATTTTATAATTTTTTTTTATTTATATAAATAGAAAAAAAAAGTTTTTGCAATGAGCCAAATTAGAAGTGACATTTTATATACTCGTAAAATAAAAGAAACCAGAGAATGTAAACGAGAAATGCAACGGCTTCATATAGCTGCACCAATTCCTAATAATAAAGATAAAGAACTTGAACCAGATGGTGATGAACTTTATCAAGTTAGTGATGAAGATAGCAATGAAATAAATTCTAAAAATAATAATGAAGTAATAATTGGAGAAGAAGAACAAAGATAAGATCAATTAATTCAAGAATGGATAAATCTAGGAATTCAAGAAAACCAATTTGATAATCAAGACGATCAAATTTTTATATCATCGGAATGGGATAGTGATTTTAATTTTGCGAATCGTGAAGTACATCCTGCTAATGATAATTCAGCTAAATGGAGTCTCGAAACATTATTTGTATCTTCTTTAGAAGCACCTTCATTTTTAGGTTCAGATTTAATTTTTACAGATACAAAATAACAAGGCAAGAATCTATTCAGTATTATATAACGATAATTTAAAATTGTGTCTAAAAGGTTCATTTTTATTTATATATAGATAACGAATAGATTTTTATAAAGCTATGTAGTAGCGAGTGATAAAGTTATTCAAGATATAATCTTGATATTTATAATATTTTGTATGAACATTTTATACTTTTTAAATAAACAATTTTATATTTTGTCAAGAATCGTTGTAAAAAAAATTTATAAGCAAATTTATTACATCATTAAATTAAAAGTTCTAGACCTTAGTACTACATAATGATTACAAAAACAAGATTTATTTTGCAAGATAATCTATGCGATAGTAAATTTTTTCTTTTACTATAAATTACAAAAATGATCTTATTAATTTAAAGCAAAAACAATATAGATTTCTTCGAAAAAAATTTTTCTTGTACTATAAATTACAAAAACACTTTTATTAATTTGAAGCAAAAATAATATAGATTTCTTATCGTTGAAGTAAAACCTACCTGAAACTAGTTTTGGAAGAGTTCTAATCTGAAACTAGTTCAGATTTTTTCAAAAAATCAAACTCGAAACCCGAAACCCAAACTATAATTCGAAACTCAAACTATTGTATAATCCGAAACTCAAAAATATAAAATGGAAGCTTTTAAAAATTTAAAAATTTAAATTATGCTTTTGGCAATTTTTTTTTCTGTCTCACTTCGTTTAAAGCTGGTTAACTTTATTTTAAATATCATACCATCATTACAACTAATTCTAGGACAATGGAAAAATTGCCAATGAATAAATTGATAAATTTTTGATGCCTGTTGATACCGAATTTATTTAATTCTGTAGTAATTTATCAATTCGATCATTAGTATATGGACGTACTATTACTTATTTTAATAAAAAAACTGATGCATGTCTTGACTGTCAAAATATAAGCTCCGAAATTATGCCTATTTGTGAATTATAATAACAAAAAGAACCGAATACATACAATAGATATATTAGAAATATAGTGTGAGAAAAAGAGAGGAAGAGAGAAAGAGAAGGAGAGAGAAGGAAAGGCAGAAAGAAAAAAAGGCAGAGAGAAAAAAAGGAAAAGAGAAAGAAAGGGAAAGAGAAAGAAAGGGAGGAAGGGGTAAAAATGGTAAATGCTTTTTTTTTTTTTTTTTAAGTTTTTTTTTTTTTTTTTTTTTTTAAGCCAGTTTTCTTTATTTTGTCTTTCTCTTTTTTTTTAACCTGCTTTTTTTTGAAATTTTAATTTTTTTTTTTTTTTTTTTTTTTTTTTTAGGATTACTAATTTTAACCAGATTACCTGAGTTATTTGAGTTAACCAGGTTGTTATCCAGTTTTGAATTTGTTACATGAATTAGTTATCTGAAGTAGACGGGCTTAATCTTTAATTGAGATATAATACATCAATGCAGTTAATATATATACTACTAATCTAGCTATTTTATTGGCTGACCAAATAATCTTGGTCATATAGTCATATAACCCTTATGATGACTATATGACCTATGACTGGTCATATAGATCATATAGGTCATAATAGGTTATAGTCCAACACTGGTTCTTATGGCTGTGCAAGATGCCAAAGTCTGCTCTGTGCATTGAGTCTGACTATCATTTATTAGCCTTTCCACGTAAATGGGCTATACTGCCTGCCTACTTACATTATTTTCTATATTAACTATATCGGCTATATCTTTTAATATAGCGGCGGCTAGGACCAAAAAAAAACTCTTTCTGTCGATCACTATGCCCAAATCTGGAGCTAAAAAATTTCTGCAAAAAAGTCACTATGGTACTAAGTTATCAACTAAAACAGCTTTAAAAAAAAAAATAAGACAAGAAAAATCAACTATAGTTATATAGAACAGTTTTGCTTCTCAATAAGCAAGGCTCATTATATTTAGAAAAATTAAAACTTTTAGAAAAATTTTTAAATTTTTTTAGAATTCTGGAGAATTTATGTTTACCCTGTTCTGCAGATCGATCATCACAAGAAAAACAAACGCATACAAATTAGGTAAAAAACAAACAAAATAATATTGCTAGAAAATCAAGCAACAAAACAAACAGTTTTTGAAAAAACAAACCAAACAACTACGCGTTTATAATCATGTGTTTACATATAACAAATTAAACTTTTATTCTAGAAACTTCAAAAGGAAAATCATACAACATACACTTAATACAAGTATAATATACTAAATAGTAAATATATGGATCTAATACTTATGAAAGATATTGTCCAGGCACAAGAAAGTAAGAGACAAGAATTGTATGCAAAACAAAGCAAATTCATATTAAATATAGATCATGCCATAGCAAAGTATCTGGATATAAAGATCCAGAATTTATAACAACAATTCGTAGTGTATTAGAAATCTATAAATAGGCTTTATACAAATTTGATCAAGATAAAAAATTATCGACTGAAGAACAGGTGCTTATTGGCAAAGTAGTTGAGGTTACAACAAGTATAAAGAAAGAAAGAACCAAGCTGAGTGAGGAAAAAAAATTAGAAATGTTATGTACCTCGACAAAAATGGAGCTCGACATACAGAAAAAAGAAACAAATATTCGTGAAGAAAAATTAATTGATAATCCACCACTCAACAGGTGCAGGATCTTAGTAAAATGTAACTCAGATTACTATATAAATTTACTATAGTGCGAATGCTGTGATCACACAAGGTAAACTTTTTTTTATACTAAGGTAATTGATTTTCTGACTTAAGAGACTTTTGTAAAGCTTGTCAAGACGCATCTAATGGTAGTTAAAGCGTCAAAATCGGCCTGGTGGGTGCTGAGATATCTTTAAAAAACAGTTCTTTTACTATATAAACTTCTTTGCAAACAATAGTATTGTTTGCAAAGAAGTTTACATAATAAAATAAAGGTTTTTTAAAGATATCTCAGCATCTACAACCTAATTTTGATACTTTAACTACCATTAGATCCGTCTTGACGAGCTCTACAAAAGTCTCTTAAGTTAGAAGATCAATTACCTTAGTATGAAAAAAAGTTTATCTTGCGCGATTGTAGCATTCGCACTATAGTAAATTTATATAGTAATCTGAGTCACATTTTACTAAGATCATGCACCTGTTGAGTGGCAGATCATCAATTAAAAAGAAAGCATGAATGTGTAGATGACGAGGAAGACTCAATTGCTAGAAAAAAAGAAGAATTAGTATTAACAAGACTAGCAGAAATAAACCTTAATGAAAGCGAAATTGAAATTCTGAAGAATGATAATACTGAGAGTGCAGAATCCAAAGCAACATTAGTATATACAGAATTTGGACAAAGAGATTATGCAATACAAGAAGTTAAAGAATGAATAGGCATGGTTAAGAAAAACTAAATAAAGAAAAAAACAAAGTAGAAAATAGTCTCACATTGAATAGAAGCGAAGATATTCACAAATTCATATGGGCACTTAGTAATGATGCAAAACAAGAGTTGCCATCAAGGGAAGAATGTGTAGATCTCAGAAAAGAAATATCAGACAAAGAGTTAACCTTAACTATTTGGGATTTACCTTTATCAGCGAGATTAGAAAATATAAGAAGATGCTTAAAATAGTATAGAGTTTTGGTGAATATCGAGTAGCACACTACAACAGAGCATAAAAAAGCTGCATACGTTAGAGTTAGATATACAAATGAGGAAAAAAGGCGTAGTCTTCAGAATGCATAGGCGATTCATTACGAAGCAGGAAAAACAGCAAGAGTAACAAGTGACAAATTCAATTTAAAAGAATTGGGACTCAGAAATGAGTACTACATAATGCATATGATACAACATTACTCCGTCAACTCAATAAACTTAAAGCAAAAATGGTATACATACCAGACAATAGACATGGCAATCAGCGAGAAGCAGCTTTTGTATATTTTGCATCGCTGTCAGATCTGCAAAAAGCAAAATCAATAATTCCATTTTACTACAATACTAGATTGAAATGAAATAAAAACTCTAAATTTGGAGAAAGTAGTCTCTACAAAAATAAAAAAATCAAGAAAAAAAAGGAGAAGAAAAATAGAAGTATAAATGACAGTGAATATCATACACGAAAGTATCAAGAAAATAGAAATCTGAGGCCCAAGAAAAGCATAAACTCCAATAGAGTTCTCATAGAGAGAAAAAGAGATAACCTACATGCCAAAAGTAATATTAGAAAGCCCTTCTCTAGTATAAATCACACAAATCTATCACAGATATCAGAACATGCATCAGGCTCGAACAGTTTGCCAATTATTGATAGAAAAGGTAAAAAATCTACAATACAAGAAAAACCTAGATTAGATGAAATCTTGGCAAACTTGAAACAAAAGTTTAAAACAATAGAGCAAATAATTGCAATGCACTCTTGAGAGGCGCCACAGGCGCAGCAACAAATTTGGGCAAGACAGAAATCTTTATTTCTGTTTTGAGAGAGCCCATATTACATGAACAATGTGAAGACTCAATAAGTAATAATAATTTCGACTGGCTTAGGGTAGGTTTCTATAACATCAATGATCTAAAGACAAATGGGCAAAAATTAAGGAGTCTAGCGATTTTAGGGAAAGAAGAGTGTTTAGACATTATTGGAATTACAGAAACTAATATAAATGAGACAGAAAGTAAATGGTTAGACATAGAATATAAAGGGTATTTAGGCTTTTGGTCAACAAAAGAAATAGATAAAGCAAAGAGTTCAGGAGTAGGGGCTTTAGTTAGTCAAAAATGGGCAAAACATTTAGCTGTAGTCAGAAAGTACAATCCATATGTGTTAAAGTTAGAGTTCTTCTTTAAAAAAGCAATTCTTTAGATATGGGTAATTTATTTGCCGCCTGCAGATAAAAAAACTAACAAAGAAGTGCAACATATAGTAATATAAGAAATATGTAAGAATAAAATTGACACATATACATACATACTCGGAAATTTTAATGCAGTGAGTAACACAAGATTAGATACTAGTAATACTAGTCACAAAAATCAGGGTTTAGAGAAAAC